CCCCCCTTTCCTACAAAAAAACCCCTCCCTATGTGAAGTTGCTTCTTCGGGCATCAGTCCGTTAGTCATTGCACAAATCCTCTATAAGTGTGCACTATCATCCCGTCCTTCTGGTGTGCGTGAGGGAACGAATACCTTTTAGATCACGTACCCAACAGACGGATCGGGACAAACGAATACGTGTTCGGTGACCATAATTGAACTGGCACAGAAAATAAATATCAGCTTGGTCAGATGACTGACCCGTTTGGACCGGGGTGACAAAACCGACACATGCGTATCGACCAAAACCGAGGAGCGTGCAGGTGACAGTCACACAACACGAACAGACAGTACGGACATTGTGATTCGTGGGTTTGACAGAGCGAAATGATCCGGTCTGTCACGGTGCCGGGGTAGAGTGCTGTGAGTGCACGACCGAGTCAAATAGGTAACTGCTCGGGACGGAAAACATGAACAACTTCACGACAATTTGTCAATCGCTAGAATAACCGCATAGGTTTGCATAAGTACGCGTCCGAAAAGAATTCGTAAGCTCACTGTCCGAAACCGAATACAGTTTGATCTTCTTGGTTATTTAGCCACTTTTATTCAGTAATTCAGTTGATAGAGAACAGTTACACACGAAATGAGGTAGTAATCATTCCGTCTCACTGTGTCTCGTACCGATCAGACAGTGAAAACAGAACCCCCTTACGGTTCATCGAGGCAATTATCTGCAAGGTCACTATCAGCAATTTCTCATTGAGATTCTTGTTCGTCCCACAAGCACATCAGAATTACACAGATATATTCCATAAGCAAACGACCATGGAATGAAAGAATTTGATTTCTTTTAATCATAAACTGAATATGTCAAACCGGACCAGTGGTTTATTTTTATGACTAATACCATCACTAACGACCAAAGCCGCAGAGAAGTAGTGAGTGGAGCACAGTTGTGCTTTGCAGCCCAGGAACACGTTTCCATCACTGTGAACCGAGATGGAGGCGGTCAGGAAAACCTCCTGAGATGGGAACTATTGCAGGCATTATCTTGTTTGTGGTGCGATTTCATCTGGCGGNGGGGGGGGGGGCGAGCAGAGTAGTTGGGATCTATTCAACATTCGTTAAGTAATGAAAATGGGCAACCTGAACCCTGGAACTTGAAGTGTTGATCTACAAAACGACCTGTTAGGTAGGATAGGGACGGTATCAGAGTTTGATGACGATAGTGGAGTCTTGAGAGAGAGAGTATTAACAAATGGCATATCACGACGAGTACATCGGTGGGCGAGCAAAGTAGTTGTACACATGAGGCGCGGTTCAGCTGATTCCTCGCGAGTCAGTCGCGATAGGAAAAGGTGTAAGAAAATGAACGAGCAATGAGCACGAAAGTAAATAAATACGAAATTAGGGAGCACTCACAGCGGTGACGAGAGCCAAAATACTTTGCTGATCAATTTGCATGGAAACGGGCCTAAAAAAATAGGTGACAAAATGCAACCTTTTCAACTCGTGTTCTAGTACTTGCCGATTGCACAAATCATCAACAGTAATCGGAAGACAATAGCCACGAACGAAACATGAAATCAAAATGGAATAAGCTATGCTACACTCAAACTGGACAGAAAGTAACAGAACACATAACTCGGTAGGAAATGGTTCTCCTGGTAGGTGTGAGGGACAATGAAAGTACTGTGATAATTTGAATGTGCAAATAATCCATATCAAACAGTGTGATTCCTAAATAAATTGAAACAATGCCAAACTAGTCTCAGATAGTGGTCATATATCTGTCAAATTGTCTGTAGCCCATTGGTTACAAGATCCATCGAAACCCGATCGGGCCGATAAAATAGGTAGGCGTTCTTTTTCTTCTCAATGTCAGAACACAATGACTAAACCACATGTTCACCTACAAACACGTTCTTTCCATCATTTGGATACAAACTACACATATGATGCGTTGTGGAGCACGAAAACGTATGTATTATTAAAGAAAATCAGTTTGCATCAATGTTAACGGTGTGTGATTAATTTATCGTGAGAATAAATCGAAATCCGTGAGACTGAAGATCACTCTAGGGACGGACTGTTCCCCGCAAACGTCAATAGTGGGGAAAAACAGACGAACGTCGACACACACAGGACCTGTTTGATCTAAATATGGCGTAGGTGACAAAGCAACTTGAGCAAGTGCACACCGTATGTGCACTTCTTATCGCTTTACCTCTACTCGTTGTGAATGATTTATTTCGCCAATCAAGGGGCAGCATGCAGAATGCATTCGAATGCCAATATCATCGACTAACCCGTCCTCCCTCCCACACATACGCACACACACACACTTTAGCGCATTTTTTTTTATTCTCCCACTAGCCATAGTCTCTTTCTCCCTCCCTCTTGAGTGTTGGTGGTAAATTTACCATCAACGTAACCGAAAAGGCCAAGAGGATGATGAAATAAAACTTGATACCAGTCACAACCCGTCTTTGTCCATTAAGTTTTAAAGCAGAGAGGCTGGTTATGGTTGATACGACTTAAATGAAGGAGTGCCGTACGGCGATCTTGTCATCCAGTTGGCGCATTCCCATTTTCATGGAAAATTGTGGCATAATTCTATACTTACAAACGTGTTGCGTCTTCAGGGCCAATAACTATCGTTGTAACAACAGTCCATTCGAAAGACATGGAAACCATTTATGGGGACCGTTCTCACTTTTCTGTGCAACCCATCAACCGCTGAACAACCAACAGTACTGCACTTAATCCCACTTATTCGTGAAATCGGGGAAAAAGAACCTGAATCGGCGAATTGGACTACGCATTTATGGACCTATTCCTTTGGAATTTCGCGATTAGTTTGGTCGTTAGTTAGATATTTTCCCGTATGAATGGTGCACGAATGACGTCAATACTGCACACACCTACTCTGCACATATTCCATACCGTCCAATTGGAAGCATTCTACACCTTAATATCGAGCTTTTTATTCTTCGACCGGGTAACGACAGAAACAACAGTAAGGATCTGAAGAGATGCGGGTTATTTTAGACCGAAGCAACTGGAAAAAAACAGAACTTGTTCAATACCACGCCTAACCTATCAAAGCCTTATGTGGCTCACCATTCCAGGTCCCGGAGCTCAGGTTACCGGTTTCTATCACTGAACAGCAGGTCCTCGTGACTGCGGGGTTCAACCCGTCTGCTGTTCATCACACGAAAGTGTTATAAAAAACGTAGTTGGTACTACAAAATAAGTGGCAATACATTCAAGAATTCCCGGGGCTTCTTGGGGGCTCTCAGTTTTCCTTGGTCACCAGATTTTATTGCCCACCATTTCTCCCAAACTCGTATTCGGAAGTCTACTCTGGTCTCGATGATAGAACCAACTCCTGTTGGAATAGATGGATTCCCATCGTGTTTCTCTAGTGTGGATGTTCACCCAGCTATCTTTTTCCCCGTTTTATTTAAATACACACCAGTATGTGATTAAAAGCAGATGGGGCGGATCCCATAGTTACGAAGANATGGTAACTGGTGACCTAAGCCCCGGAACTTGGAGTGGCGAACCACTGAAGGCCCCGCCAGGTCAAGCGTGATATAGAACCGGGCGACCGCAAAGCTGTCTACCACCGAAGTTGGGTGGCGGGGTCCGAACCTCGGACCACAGGGTCCAAAGCATGCCGTTGACAGCGACTAAACCACTGCGCCACCACTACTACCGTCGATTACCGTACCCGCTATATGCACGCGTCAATGAAACCAACTCGTATTCTCTGTTTTCTAAAATGTACTTCCTCCTTATTATTGAGGACATCATTGATAAGCGCATGTTCTTCAGTTGATCGTTTGGCTCATTTTCCGCTCAGCTTTGCAGGTGTATCAGATCGTGATTACGTTCGTTTCCCTTGGGGGTTACATTTTACCCTGCTGAACGATTACTTAACGAT